TAACTACATTCGGTTTGGATTTTGCAATAATTCAGAATTGTGTATTATGTTTATATACCGTTTTAGTGTTGTTTATATGTTGTTTATCTTACGTATAACTATACGGTTAATCTTAGAAAAATGTTTGATCTTGTTTATCTAGTGTATATATATAGTATATCTGACATATTTTTCGTGGTTATGAGAAAATATATATATTATCTAAATTTTTTTACCGAAATAAATTTGCGGAGAGAGAAAAAAACATAAACATTAAGAGAGATATGGATGGAAAGAGAAACATATCAGATTTGATACGTTGATTGTGGAGGCCATAATGGCATGCTCATTATATGGAGAGAGAAACTATCATATTTGATACCATTAATCAATATATGGAGAGAGAAACGGATATGTTAATTTGAACCAATTCTCGTACAAATGAAAATAAATCCACTACTTATTCCTTTTTTGATTAATTTTTCTACAGATAGTATATATGTAAATATATCTATATAAGGGTATATGTATGTAATTTTCCCAACATATATGTGTCCTGGTCATAATGGTCTTGATCATGGGTCATTTGGAATTATATATTGTGAGTTATGGATTTTTGAACATATTGGTGCTGCTGTGATTTGTATAATTCGTGATAAATTGGATTGTTGTCCAAAAATTCTGAAATTTGGATATGTCGTTTCTCTGATGTTTATATAACTTGTCTAAATTTTTTATGATTTTTCTAATTTATTTGCTAGGGAATGCTCAGTTAAATAATTCTGCTGAAACTTGTTAAATTCATGAAAAATTGGATCCTTGATGAAAATGCATGAAACTTGGTTTATATACTTATTTGGTATTGTATTTGATGATGTAAAAATCTCAGGATTTATTGAATTCATCAGGTTATGTTTTTATTTAAATTATGGATTCTGCTAAAACTTGCAATAATTATCATAATTTATGTGTTCAGTGTTTATACATGGAATTTGCTAAAGTTATTTGTATAAAAATATTAGGTCTTAAATTATTCATTAGTCCAGTCATTAAATCCGTACTTGTTTTTGTTGAAATATTGTGTTAATTTTATAAAATCGCATGTTTAAGTGATAGGGCTGAAACTTGGTGGTTTTGATATTCTCAGTAATGTCTAGTACGTGTTAAAACTTTAGATCAAAACTCGTTCGTTTGCCTAGTCAACTTGAAAATGTGTTTACTTGTCTAATTTTTCAAAAAAACTAGTTCACTATGTTTAGGTATGGATTTTTATGTGATTTTTCATATATCCTGCTCCATGTTAGTGATATATATGTATATAAATTTTTTAGTCAAAACCTCGGGTGAATTTTGAAATAACCGAGAGATGCCCTAAGTGGTGTTGCGTGTCGGCAGCAACCACCCGCGAGCGCCCATCTGCGCTTGGCTGCGCGCGCATGCCAGCAACGCGAGCGCCCGATGCTGTGCCCAGGTCTGCCGACAGCACCCGGTAGCGCCCTGCTACGCGCGAGCCAAGTCCATACTTCGGTTTTTGGACTTTTTCCTGAGCCGTTGACCCTAGTTAGCCTTTTTGCTTTTGTTTGATTTGGTCAATCCTTATATGAATATTATTTGCCTTTCCCATACATGGTTTCGAGTCAAGACAAATGTTCCATAACTCCACAAGAATTTTCCACGAGCCACTTAGTCGACGTGTTCGACTAAATTTGTGTGTTCGTTGGATTGGATTGTAATCGAGAGACCATCTTGATTTTGTGTAGGTGTTTTGAGGTGTTGACCTCACCACTTACTCGAGCTTCGTTCTTGTGATTTGTCGCGACAATCATGTGGGTACATTTGCGTTGTATCTATATTTATCGCATTCGTTATTTTGTATAAATGTTCGTCTCAATTGCTGTTGTATGCGTGAGAATCCTAGTCTAAGTATCCCGTCGATAGTGCCTTTGATGAATGCATAAGCAGTGAGAGGTCAGTTGCCCGTTGTATCCGGGAGGAGGACGCCCTGGCCCGTGTGTTGGGGAAAAACAGCCGTGTCGAGCCGGGGTGGGAAGGTTTCCGGTTACTCCTTGTCGATGTATGATCGGAAGGTTGTTATATGTACATAGGAGGTTTGTGATATGGCCATATAGGGAGTTAGAGCTTGGACTCTGTGCATACTTTATATATGGTTTTGAATCTTTATGCGAGATATACTGTGCGGTAATGGTGAGAATGATGATTTTGCTCACCCCCATTGTTGCTCCTCTTGTTTCGTCTTCCTATATTTAGGTTGAGCACGGCTGGCGGCGGCGGCGAGAGACGATCGAGTAGTGGTCATTAGTTGATGTGTCTTTTGCTTCCGCTATCATTATCTATGTTGGATAACTTGTTTTCATTTGGATTAGTTATGCTTCCGCTTTGAACACCATGTTTATGTTTGGATTACTCGTTGACTCATGTTGAACTTTATGAATGTTTTGGAATAAGTTGGTTTGATTTTACAACTTTTAGTTTATGCACGTGTAGATATTTTATATTTGTACGTATTTGTTTATTTGTTGTTGGTAGTTAAGTAGCGCCCGTTAATAATCAAGTTGCAAAAAATTAACTCTAATTTTTATAAATAAATTCGGTAAACTCTTTAAAATAAACGGGGCGTTACATTTAGTTTGCCCCACCCCGCAATTGAGGTGCTATCGTAACATGCCTTTGATATTTGCCCGAGAAGGGCGGCGTGTCGTACCACGCCTTGACCTTTGTTTTTCTAACTTATTTTGGGACTAGATTGAACAGCTGACATGTGGTTTGCCATTTAGACTTTTGTCACGCGAGCGAGGAGCCGAGATTGTTGCTGCCCGCTTCGATATTGTATGTCGTGTGACGCTCGATGTTTTATCAGTTCTGATCTATAAAAATTAATTTCACCGATTAAAAAAAATAATAATAATAAAGAAACACGAGATTAAAATCATAAATGAAAATAATTTGTTGGCCACATCCCAATTGAATTGGGTGCCATTTCTTTTTCTTATTTGTTTATTTATTTACTTTTAATGTGTGACAAAATGGAATTGATAAACAAGCAAATTAAACCTGGAAAATGAGTTTGTTCACCTAATTTTGAGTACAACTAAATCTAATCTAACTAATTTATATTCAAGGGAGGCTTTTGTTTTGGAAGATCATACAAATGACCTGGGTTTTATTTTTATACAGTTACTTGTTTTCAATATGTTTGACCGGTCAAAATGGATCTACCTACTAAATTATACTAGCGAAAAAGGGATTTAATTGTATTAATGCAAAATGTAGAAGCAATCAAATTTTAACTAAATGCATTAAATTATTTAATAAAAACATGTTAAATTATTTATTAACAATATATATATAGTTAAAAAGTTAAACTTGTGGTTAGCTTATGATCTTTTGATGGTTTGGTTGACAAGAAAGAACATATATAAATGCATGACAACATATCATGCACTTGCAAACAACTGCACTCATCAACTTTGCATTCTTGATTTATCAAATAACCACACATTTATTCATCTCATAATACTAAACATAAACATTAATCTTAACTAATCATTCTGAAAATTGAGGGTAGATTTGGAACTGTGTTGGGATTATACCAACTATATAGTTAGTCAAATACCAAAAAAAA